CTGAACCTTCATTTGTACACTTGAATGGATTCTGGCTGTGCTGAGCTGATCAGATTGCCTCTCCCAAGATGTGGGAAGGAGTTCAGTTCAGCCTGGGCCCTGCACAGCAAGAACAGAATCTCTGAGCTGAGGGTGGTAAAAGTCTTCAGAGAGAAAAATGATAAAAGTTATGACAAAAGAGAACAATCAGAAGGAACTCAAAAGGCTTGCAATCTTCTCTTTCCATCCATTCCTAACACGGGTTTCCATGAACTATTTCTATAGTCTTACAATAAAGAATATGATTTTGCCTAAGCTGATTTTTTATTTGCAACCCTTATTATTTAGGAACCCTAAATAATGCAAAGATTGGGTCAGTTACAAACTCATAGGAGCCAGTTACAAATTCAGAGGATCCCTAAATAATGCAAAGATAGGGTTGGTTCAAAATTCAGACACCAGTGTCAGGCCCAGAATACCTTTTAAAGATTCAGCAAAGATGATCAGCTTGCCTTATCTTCTTGAGAACTGCTTCTGGAGTTTGACCCTTGGGTCCTCCTAACTTTTTACTCAGTCTTCCAAGCTGGGCTTTAACTAGCTTGGTCTCCAAGGAGGAAGATAAGGGAGTAACAGTAGAATATAAGCATTAGGAGACATTTATTTTGTCCAGCTCCATTGTGTGTCATGCTATCGATTGATTCACAACCACAGCATTGTGAGGTACTGTCCACAACCACTGTCCAAGTGTAGGTTTTCCAGTAGAGCAGCCCCCAAACCTACCCTTGTTCCTACTTGTTTTTAGTAACACATTGCCCACAGTTTGAGCTGGGTACATGGTCACCCAATTAGAAACAATATTTCTCTCTTTTGTAGGAAAGTGAGACCATGTGACTAAGTTCTGGGCCAATGAGATCAGAGAGTAGTATGCCACTTCTGAATTGTTCCCTTAAAATCACCTGCATTCTGGGAACCAGCAGTTAGCGTAATGGCTATGTCGCTGGACTCCCACATAGTCAACCGCGGTTCGTGTCCCGGACCCGGTGGCTTAAAACTCACGCCGGGCGCGTGTGCGTGCGTGCCCAAGATCCCAAGAAGAGAATGGAGGAGAAGGGATTGCGGCGTGACCATCCCCCCTGGGGGGTGATTTCTCGCTTTCTGTCTCTATGTCTCTCTCTGTCTGTCTGGCGAGCGCACGCGCCCTACAGTGAAAATCTCTAAAAAAAAAAAAAATCACCTGCATTCTCTCCATTTGTTCTTTCCTCCTTTGACATGCTCACATTCTCAAAGCCAAAGCCTTCTAGAGAAGGATGGTTTGACCAGAGCACATTCCAGAGTGAGCATGTCAATGCTGAGCCTTGCAACCATAGGGATAAAGACAATCCCCAAAAGGATCTAGAACAAGAAGACATGACGCATGTGGGCTTCTGGACAGACCTACTCTACCCTTCTGGACCACTCACCAACTCAGACTTTCACATAAGAATGAAATCAGCTGCTTTTATTTGAGCCATCATTACCTGTTTTTTGTTCAAACCGATGAAACAATATTTTAAATAATTTTTATGGTTTCTTTCAGTGAGAAAATTCTTAGCCTTCACCCTTGGCCTTGATTTCTCCTAAAGGAATTCTGAGGACAGTTGCTAAGAACTGAACTTTTATTGCTTTTTTTGTACTTGGAAATGACAGGCTTCCATCAGGGATGCCAATAATCAATAATCTCACAGACATTCCAATACCACCAACCATAAATTAGTAAGAGAAAGGGACCAGCAGTTAGCATAATAGCTATGCTGCTAGACTCCCATGTAGTCGACCGTGGTTTGAGTCCCCGACCTGGTGGCTTAAACTTAAGCCAGGCATGTGTGTGTGCCGGCCCAGGATCCCGAGAGGAGAACGGAGGAGAAGGGACTGCAGTGTGGCCATCCCCCCTGGAGGGTGATTTTTGGCTTTCTGTCTCTCTGTCTCTCTCTGTCTTTCTGGCGAGTGCACGCGACCTATAGCAAAAACCTCTCAAAAAAAAAAATTAGGAAGAAAAAAAAGAACTGCAATCACACTGAGAGCATCATGCAAGCCAAACCCACCACAACGGCTGTTGGGAAAGGGCTGAGGTTGTTCAGGGCACCTCCTGGGCTTACAGGGATGAGCAGAAGCAGGGTGGCTAACAGAGGCTCAGCCAGAGTGCTGCCACACAACACTCTCCATCTCTAACAGTCCATTGGACCTGTAAGGCCCCTGTAGCAGAGCTATGATGGGTCTTGAGCAATTACATTTACCAGTTAGGCTGAGGTGAAGTCAAGTGACAACAGTAGGTTTCTGCCTCACCACCTAACTTAATTTCACTGCAGAGAAACTGAAGCAGGTGATGGGTCTTCTCAAAGTCAAAGCCTTCTAGAGAAGGATGGTTTGACCAGAGCATCATTGTCTCAGTCCCTGGCCATGTCTTCAGATGCCTACACCTTTCCTCCAATACCTGTTCCAGCTGGTTAGATATGTATTATGGAGGTTCTGCATGTGACCAGTCTATGCTGAGATGACTGATAACAGAGATTCTTTATGGGGATATTTTTAAACCATAGACCACATCTACTGAAAGTTGGGTATACAGGTCTTGGAGCTAGCCATTTGCTCTGGGGAGACATGACATGAAACAGGCAAGGGAGAAAAACTGCCACTTAAGTACTATCTTCTTCCTAGGACAATAAGAGCCAGCACAAAGAAGAGGGGTAGAAAGGAAAGGGAAGAGAAAGGAATAAAACAAAACTTAACCAAACAAAAACACCACAGCCTATGTTTTGACTGCTCCTTTAGATCAGGTTAAGTCCTATAGCTTATAAAGCATAATATGTCACTGGGAGACTTTAATCCCATCACACAGAGATGAGTATGGTAAGATTTACAACCATAAAAGTCTACAGGTGTGAGTGGAAATGTAAACACACTTACAGCTGTGTGTGTGTGTGTGTGTGTGTGTGTGTGTGCGCGTGTGTGTGCAGAGTCAAAGGGAAGTTTCTGATCTCTCATTTATCTGTTCTACTTACTTTTGAACTGCTGAATGGGGTTTCACGGTTGCTACAGAAGCTGGCCCACCTACAGTGGTAGAAGGCTCTTGGTTTTCTGCAGCTTGATTTTCAGATCTGAATTTCCTACGAATAGGTTTCGATGGTGGCTGAGAATATGGTATATCCTGTAGATTAAAAAAAATTTTAATTAAATGCCACTCCACCCATCATGCTAATGCCCCACATTCTTCCAAGGTCAGTCTGTCCCCAAGATCAGCCAGGTGCTCTATTCAAACTCCACATCCAAGGACATGTGGTTGATTCAAGGCTTGGCAAGAATCAGAACTGGAGGAAATCAGGCATCCAATTCCAGCAGCCACTCTTCCTTCTTCTTCTTTTTCTTCTCTTTTGTTTTTAATGATTACAGTTTATTACCTTTTTTGTCAACTGGAAGGAGATGGGAATCAGAGTTGGTGGGCTCCCTCCCTCCTTTCTCCTTCCTTCCTTCCTTTCTTTCTTAGTATTTCAAGTATTGCATTACTTCTTGTCATTTAAAAGTCATGTAGACCTTATGTGCATCTCATACCATGGGCCTTTTCTAACTGAAGATAAAATTAGTGCCTACCTCACTGAATTTTTTGTAATATAAGTTTTGAAGTCTGTAAAGGCCTTAGTTATATACACTCATCATTCCCCTGCCCCCCTAAATGAAGTCAAACAAAAGTGCCATAGTGTCTTCTAGAAGTAGAGAGTTGCCCTGCCTCATTGCGAACCCTAACTCATCTGTGCTCCCAAACCCAAGCCCCACTCTCTTTGATGGGAGAAGGGCTTAGAAGAGAATGGGGAAAGAGAAGAAGAGGGTGAGAAGATGAATGGAGAGCATGATTACTGTATGGTGCTTACTGGGAAAACAGAAGGTGACTCAATGGCATGGCTGGACAGAGGTAGGATGCAAGGAGGAAAGAGACCATGGGACAGAGACCAAGAAGATAGGACAAACCCACCCCCAAGAGATGCTCATGGAGGCTAAGCAGGTGTGCGAGGCTTTGGTAAAAGCATGTGTCCCTCCACACAGCATTGTTTGATCTTGCCAAAAGCAAGACCACCATGCTTAGCTGGGAGGTTGAGGAAGGGAGTACAAGCTCTCAGTAACATCAAGAAGGGTCAAGCCTAGGAATCTTCAGGACCCTCATCTTCACAAAGAGTTCACAATCTAGGACATCAGGTTCACTAATATTTCAGGACACAGACACCTTAAAATGATCGATCTGCTAATAGAGGCAAGAGGTCCAGGGGTGAATGACCCAAACATAATGTTGAATGAATGAAATCAAACACAAGAGAATATATTTTTGTCATTTGATTCCATTTATATAAAGTTCAAAAATAGTCTAAACAAATCTATGGTTTAAAAAGCTAGTTTATTAGTTATCTTGGCAAGAGGAGTAAGTGATTGGGAGTCAGCATGCGGGTTCTTTCTGGGGTGTTAGTGAAGTTCTTTTTCTTGATCTAGTCAGTGATTGCACATGAGTCTGTTTACTCTGAAAAATCCATCAACCTGTGTACTTACGATCTGTGCCCCTTTTAAAATCTTATTTTTTAATTAAAATGTTCATTTTTAAAACTGTATTATGAACACAATAGCAATAAAATTAAAATAATCAAGTCAGAAAAAAAAGAAGTCCAGGGGTGGGGTTCATACCACCACAATAACAAACCTTACCTTCTTTGCCGGACTACTTTCTGCAGCCTGGGAAGGGGCTCTGTTCAGCTGTGGGAGTACCTCAGCCTCAGATGCTTGCTCAGACTGTAGTGAAAAATCAGAGAGAGGATAGAACTGCACACACAGCTATCTAAATACAGAATGCAGAGTAGTTAGAAAAGTAGACAGTAAGGAGAACTGACTCAGACCAAGTTGCAGCCAGGCATGGTTAGGCCTAGTAATCCTTGGAAAAATCTTCCACAGACTCTGCTATTCCCTCCTTTGAGATGTTCAACATAAGGAAAAGGGATTGTGGGGATTTCTTCTATAACTGGATATATGTATTGCTAGAAAATCAATGTTTTGCAAGATCGAACTCAACATTAAAAATGACAAGGCTTATCAGAAAAACAGAGTTAGAAAAGAACTTAAGATTTAACTCAAGCACTAACAAAACCAATCATCATCACCATCATCAACATAAAACACACTGCCATTTTTTAAATTCTGAATTCCTAATAAGGAAACACTCTAGTAAATATGGTTCTTCAAAAAATTAAAAAGTTGGGGGGGGAATATGGTAGAAGGAGTAATCAAAAAAGTTAAGGCTGCTGCGGTTCAGAATCAATGACTAAATGCATGAAAACTGGCAAGTAAAGCCCTCAAAGCACTTCAAGACAGAGCAGGAACCACAGAGGTAGGTGGAAGGACAGAAGGTGACTGGATCCATGTGTGGCTCCCTACTTCCTGAGGCTTGCTACCCTTGACTATTAGAGTACTTTGCTTTCAGCTGTTACAAGCCAGTGATACAAAACGTGCGGAGAAAAAGAACAAAGCAGTAACCCATATATGAGCCATCGTGACTTCCTATTAAACTAAAGTTAGTCCTCTATTTACCCACAAACTTATCCACGTTATAGAAACAACAACCTGCCTGACTATGTCTACTTCGTACCTAACCCAGCCCTCTCAACCCTCATGCAGAGCATGGCTTCCTCCAGGCTCTACTGAAATGGCTGGTTTCCAAGGGAGCTTCCATTCTTCCATTTAGCAGATTCTGACCGCCTCTTCTAGTCTCCTCCTCGATCTTCTGCCAAGGTCAAGGAACACCACCCTTGACAATCTTTTGAAAACTGTCTCTGCCACTGGAAAAACTGCAATCTCCAATTTGTAACCATTCTCTCTCCTCTTATCCTTCAAATGTAGGATTTATCAAGGTTTTGTCTTCAGTTCCCCTGGCCTATTTTCCCCTCTCCACTCATTTTTTTTCCCCAGAGGAATGCCACTGCTCCCACATCTTATCCCAACCAGCTCCTGGTTTCTTCTAAAACCATTACACAGGCATTCAACATGCTTAATTTCAAGTTCCAAGTGCTTCTTAAAGCCACCTCCTTGGTATTGAGAACAACCATATTGTTTTTGTCATTGCTGTCACTGAAAGATACTATGATGCACAGAGCACTTACTGTGTCATACATTACTCAAGTGCATTGCATGGATTATCATATTTCATCATCACAACCCTAGGAAATACCTGCTATCCCCACCTTAGTGGTGAAGAAACCGAAGACCAAGAAGCTAAGGAACTCACCCAAGATCACAGACAGGAAGATCTGAATCTAGGCCTGAGGGTTATTCATTCGAGACATAGTTATTGAATGGCTACTGCAGGCAGGCCTTATGCTAGCACTGGTACTCGAGGATGAAGAAGACACAGACCCTGCATACATAGAGCTTGAAGTCTAGTGGGAGAAGCTGAGAAATGACCAGGCAAGGGTGCCCCAATGGATGGTGATGGGAAAGCCTGGGGTCGCCAGAAGCTGTGGGTTGGCAAAGATGCAGGAAAAGGTGGCATCTCAGCAGAGGCCCAAGTGGTAGGCAGGGTGCAGACAGCCCCAGGGGTGGTGTGTGGAGAAGGGGAGAAAGGAGGCTGAACAAGTGATTGCCACGAGAACATTGCAGCTGATGCCCAGGACAAGGAAATGGGAGGAGCAGGTACAAAGGGAGTTCACTTTAAGGCATACAGGGTTGGAAGTGTCCAGGAAACACCCACGCAATGCTGTCCAGAAGCCATTCATTGTCAGAAGTCTGAGGAGAGCAAGCACTCACCTCACTTTCCCTGGGTGTTCTGACAAATGGAGTCACAGTCAAATCTAAACGTCGGTTTTATTAATGGCAAAGCAAAGGCCCAATAGCTACCCAAATCCAGGGCTTCCAATGAACCATGCTGAACTCAGGCCCCTCGTTCCCTTTCACCTGCAACTCTACTGCTTGAAAGGCAGATATTCTGGTCCCATATCTATTCATGCAGCCTCCTACGGGAAGCACAGTTGCGGACCGATGCATTTGCTGGGCAGGCACAGAGGAGGGACAGGCCAGGCTCTCTGTCTTTCACCCATTCCATGCTCCTTCCCTCCCTGGAGAGACCAACAAATCCTCCTTCTCTTGGAAATACTGACAGAGATGATAAACTGACTCTGTTTTAAACTAAATGAGAATTCTGAGCACCACAAAGGTGTTTCTGTTTTTTTCATCTTTTTCTCTTAAAAATCTCTAAAACACAAACAGCAGTGGGGTAGAAAATGAGAAGAATGAGGAAGAAGTTGTAAGATGTGCCCCAAAATGTGTTTTCATTTACAAATTACCTTGCTGAAGTTGTACACAAAGGCCTGGGTTTTTAGCACTAACTGGTAACAGCCAACTCCAGGGTCTTATGCCAGGCTGAACCCAACCATCCATCTCCTTAGCCAGAAACTCAATGGTTCTTCATCCCTTCCTGCCACTCCATGACAGATCCTGAAAGGATCTATCTTGTGAGCATTGAGGGGAGCAAATCTCTCAAGGGCCCTGAAACACAGGCATCAGGAAGGTCGCAGGATAACGCAGAGCCTGTCGGAACTAGGAATTAGCCCAGGAAAAGATGTGGAAAAGAAACCAGCTTTGTGGTAAGGAAAAACTAGAGATGGGATTTAGACATGCAAGAGTCCCTCTTCATGATAAGCTATTTCACTTTCCTTCATGAAAACAGGGTGAATGGAACAAACCAGGGAGGTTTCTTTGCTATTTCTTCAGATTTTTAAGTTACCATAAAAACAGGAGGCCTCAGTGGCTCCCCCTTTACCCTGTGCATTTGAGAAAGGGTCGGGGGACAAATGTGCCACCAGGGCAATATGGTCTTGTCCAAAAGTTTTGGTTTTCTGAACTTAAATCCAGTGCCCATCTCTTGTGAAAGAAACTAACATTTGGATTACAATGAATACTACAAATGGCAGTCCTACCCTCACGGATCAATGTGTAACAACATGTGCCCAGCCAGGATGCGGTAAGCCAGGAAAATGTACTGTCAGCAAAGACCTCACTGAAACTTGAGCTCCATTTAAAAATACATGCCTTAGTTTGATTATTAATACTCTCCTACCCACAAATGACAAATATATTTTCATTCTAATTTGGTGATGAAAAGCCTGGATAGTTCACGTGGACTCAGAAAGTGCTGCCACTCAGGGTGTGGAGAACTGCCTTGGGCTCTGCCCATTCCCATGGGGAATGAGACAATATGGCCCCTACTCAGCTGGCTTCCTGTATATAGACATAGGCCCAGAGAGGCTAAGAACTTTGTGCCTCCATTTATTCAGTTACACAGATGTTTATTTGGTGCCTTTGATGTTTCAGGGACCATGGTAGGTGCTAGGGACATAAGTAGGAGAAAGTCAGCTGTAATAGATGTTGTGGTGTCCCCACCCAAATCACTTTAGCTTGCCTGGTACATCCATCCCTCAGCATCTCTGAGTGCTAACTATTAAGGACTCATAGCTGCCCCATAGCTGCCTTCTTCTCTAGAGAATAGTCCTCAACTATGGGAGCCCACTTTCCACAGCAGCCCACAGACACTGACTGACTTACAGAAGGATGCAAAAGGTTGGGGACCAGCAGATGGTGTGGAGGTTAAGGTGCTGGACACTCTCACATGGCTGACCACAGTTCGAGTCCTGGACCTGGCGGCTTTCTTTCTCTCTCTCTCTCTCTCTCTGGTCAAATTAAAAAAAAAAATAAATGATTAGATAAAAATAATTCTTTAAAAAAAAAAAAAAGGATGCAAAAGGATAGTTTCCTGCCTTTAAGGAAGGAAACTCTGTAATGCAATTTAAGTACCAGAATCCTCCCAGTGTGCATCCGGCAAAGGCCAGACTGTACCTGAGGCTATATCACTACCTGACTCTTCCCCCTCCTCCTTCCCTCTTCTTCCCTCTCCTTCCCTACAGTAGTTTCTGTTGCTGCTGCTGCCAACAACTTCTCTGCGTGAATTTATTTACTGGCTTCTTTTAAAACCTCCTGGACAAAAAGCACATTAAAAATCAGTCATTATAATAATTAAGGCAGATTAACACAATACTGAGAAATTAGGAATTGTTCGAAGTTCTTTTTTATTCTCTTAGGTTGTGGTGAAAAGTCACGATGAATTTTTGCATAGAAAGACACAGAAAATTTTCCGACAACCTAATATTTCTTCCATGAGACAGAGAGAAACAGAGAGCCAGGCACCCCCAATGGGGTCCTCCTACTGCAATTCACTGCTAGCTTCAGCCAGCCTGGATCATAGGCACATGCATGCACCCAGTGTGCACTGAGAGACTTTGGGATGAGAACCTGGGACTTTCCCATGTGGGTCCAGCACTGTGGAGCACTGGGTTACCAGCGTGCTACTGGGCTGGCCCTGGATTGTTTTCTAAGCAGTTTAAAACAAACATGTCTAGGGACCAGCAGGTAGCAATAATGGTTACATTGCTGGACTGCCACATGGTCGACCACAGTTCAAGTTCCGAACCCTGTGGCTTGAAACTCACACCCTACATGTGTGAGTGTGTGCCCAAGATCCCAAGAGGAGAATGGAGGAGAAGGGACTGCAGTATGGCCATACCCCCTGAGTGGGAAGAGGGTGATTTCTTGCTTTTTGTTTCTGTCTCTCCAACAAGCGCACATACCCTATAGCAAAAAAGACTCTCTAAAAATAACAGACATTCTCAGATTTCAGTTCCACTGAGTCAGGCTAGCTTTACAAAGGTTCCTCTGCTCCCATTTGAGTCCAAGTGCTCATCAAATCTCCC